TCATTTCCTGTAAAAAAAACAAACAACATAAATAAAAAAATAAAATAAACAAAATGCATAGAAAAATGATACATAATTATCAAAGTATAAAAGAATATATAATATATAATAATATAACAAGTCTGTGTATTAGAATATTTATTTGTATCATATGTGTAAATATTAGGTTGTATAAATAGTCAAAACATCTATATAAGAAGAGCTAGACAGGTGTAGGAATTATTAAGCATTTGCATCCTCCTACTTCCTCTTATGAACAAAACTTTGTTTTTGTTGGGTCCCCCCCCCTTTCATTTCTTTATGAGATGTTTATTTTTTCATGTGACTTCTCTTCATTTACCTCTAATTTATTTTGCATTAATATCAGTCAATTTAATAGTTTTCTTGTCCCCCATCAGCTTACTACTATCCTGCTTTAACACAGGTAATACATTTTCCATGAAAGTCAATAAAGTCTTATCTTTTACAGGTAAAATGGCCTGTATTTGTATAGCGCTTTTCTAGTCCCTAATGACCCCAAAGCGCTTTACACAACCAGTCATCCACCCATTCACACACACATTCACACACTTTCACACACTGGTGATGGCAAGCTACATATTTTCTGTAGGAATTTCCTTGATGACTAACTACTGACTACTAGAGATATTATTAACTTGTTTTGACCAGAAAAACAAACTCAAGGCCAAAGAATTGTCCTGAATGCCAAACTGGAAAAACAGGAATAACAAACTTCAAAAACACACACACACACATATCATCAGCTATTATATATGCAAAGTAGTAGTCATAACAACAAAAGGGGAACACTGTCAAAAATCAAGTATCAACCCATGACAACTTTTAATTAATGCCCCAATACAAAATGACACACTGATTATAACAAGTAAAACCTAAGGCACCTACAATAACCTGACAACTTTTATGTTAATGTAACGATACTGTAAATTAATTTTGGCCTTCAGCACTGAACAACTAAAATGCATCATCATCTCTATCTGGGATCATTTTATTAAACACTCTTTTTATATTGTTTAAATAATTTTAGCAAACTTTAGCAAAAATGCCTTAATTTACCATGGAAGTCACAGTATTCAGAGAAAAAAAACAACTAAATTTAAGTATATTTTATTAAGCAGGCATTTATGTATTTTCATAAGTATCAATAATGTAATCAAGAAAGCATTTTGTGTCTGATATGGAGGTGAACTGAGGGCACATTTAGCAACTCAAAGCCTGCCAGTCCTCTTGCTACATAATCCACACAGTCTAATTATTAACCACACCTAAGCATGGTGTGTCAGCCACTTGAGATTTGAGGTTTTCTGTTGAATTTTTAAATGGATTATTTTGTGTAACATGCACAAATTTTACATCACTGATGATTGCTTTTGGATTAAATTGTTTTTGGGGTTTTTTTAAATCATGAATGCTGAAATTTGGAAGAACAATTTTCAAAAGCCAAAACTCACAAAATGTGATTCCACAGAGTTAAATGTTGTTGGGGGTTTTTTCCCCTCATTATTTCATAGCATAGTTCTGTGTAAGACTTGAACGGCAACTAAAAGAGGTGGTGGTTTAGAGGAAACAGAGGTCATGATAACCCCAAACAAACAAACAAACAAACAAACAAACAAACAAACCACAACAACAAAAAAACCCAAAAACATAAAAATTAAATGGGGTCAGATAATTGAACAAAATAAGTAAAAAACATAAAAACCACCTACTTAAGTTCATTGGATGCTTTGTGTCATTTTGTGCAGAAACTACACGAGTTTGAAAATGAATTTTCACAGCCAAATGAGGATTAAGACTGGGTTTGAGGTTTTATAGTATCTTATGTTGTTGGTTCTCAGCTTTAACCATCTTCTAAAAACAAAAGCTACAAGGGTGACTGACCTGAAAGCAGATGGCGCACACATCATTGTGCTCCTGCAGCTGCTGAGCTGTGGCTCTGGGCAGGGAGTTGATCTTCTTAGCTGCTTCCTGTCTGAGCAGGAAGCTCCTCCAGCCAGACTGAGCTCTGAGCCAAACGTTAAAATATGAGTGGATGATAATGACGGAGGCACCCATCCAGCTCCACTCTCCAAAGAGTGACTCCCAGGTGCCATAAGCCACCACGCACAGTGCCACAACAAACTCCAACACACGGCTGACAGCGTTCACCCAGTAGATCACTTCGTCCAGGCTCTCAATTGGGTCGCTGCGAAACAGCTCCACCATGAAGAGGGAGTAGATCAGCATAGTGCCTGTAACCTGGAATAAACAGTCAGTCTTTTACATGTGCAAGTCAGCAGTCATCCTCCTCTCCCTGTATAAATCTACAGCTTCTGCCATGTTAACAGCTTCTTTGTTTTTCAGTTTGTGAAGGTGACCTTACGTTGTCTACTAAATGCCTTTTTCTATTTATGACTATAGGAGGTGTCACATTAGTGTTACTGCACAGGTGTACAGAAACAGGATGATATCACAAAAAACAAACAAAAAGGTATTAACTATGTAGACATGCACTACATCTGACCTCCAGTGGGTGGAGCCAAAGTCATAAAATTTCTCACATTCAACAGTGCATTGCTGGGACATGACTACACACATTTACAACTGGAACTAAATGGCAACAGTAGTAGTCCTGTTTTAAATGTCACAGTAATTAACGCCAGTGATTTAAAAGCATATAAATAAACTAACCCTGTATTTCAGTTTCTGGAATATCTGTTACCACAGCTGCATTTAAGATTGCTTCCTGAATGTATTCATAACTTAAAACACACTAAAAAGAGAGAGCGAGAACATAAATACTTCCTACCTGAAGGGATGTAAGCATGCAGCTGGATACTAGTATGAGGAGCCAGAAATCCATGTGGAAGAACTGGGAGATCTTGTAAGCCATAAACACTGGGAAAACCAGGAGAAGCAAACACATGCTGAGGCCACGGAAGTGTTTCCACAGACTCCTAGAAGCACATATGAAGGAGAAATTAATGAAATCGGGAATAAGCTTAAAAAAGAAAAAACACTGTTGCTGCTCTTACCCGTTTCGTGATGCACCCAGTGCGAGAATAACTGGATCTGTTATTTCTATCATTGACTGCAGGGTTGAGGTCACCACGATGAAGAGGATGATGCTGAGGAGGAAGGTGCGCTGCAGTGCTTGCATATCCAACAGGCCTGTCTGAATGGCGAGGAGGAGCAGAGTGACGCCCTCAGTCACACCTCTGAGAACAAAAACGATCAGGAATTAAGATTAAATAAAAATAAAGGAGGTATAGCACAGAGATACAGCTTACATTATCAGTTACCTGTGCATGACATTCTCGTTCTGAACAGCGGCAAAACCTCCCAGGTAAAACTTGCATAGATTGAGCAGCCCCAGAGCCAGATAGGACACCATGAAGGTCAGACCCAAAAGAGAGTATGGTGTTGCACAACATTCAGAGACACTGTAGGATTCAAGCAAATGAGAAACCGATGATGTTCATATTGTCAGGATTAAACATACACAAAATGAAGGGAATGTAATTAACACCTTCACACCTTGTGAGGAGGAAGAACATGATCCCATGATGGGTTATTGAGGTGCCAGCGGACATGATGTCTGAGCACAGCTGGACAATGAATAGAATAAACCAGAAGACGCTAAAGAGGACTGGGACAGCAAACTGGTTCCACAGAGAGATTCCCACACCCAGAAGTCTGTACAGCTCAATTACCTGAGGAAAGGAAACATGATAAAGTCCGGAATGTTAAAAAACAAAACAAAAAAACAAACCCACAGATTTTTACATTTATATTGTTCATTAACTGATTGTTTTCCAGTCTAGTATATAATCAAGAAAACCAAAGACATAATTTAGAAGTTTAGTATACTTAATAATAACCAAATAAGAGGTGATTTTGTCGACAGAAGACAAAAACAGTCCAGTATGAAATACGAAAAATAAAAAAATTAGAATATCAGAATAAGAGAACCTCCAGGTGAAGCAGCTCAGAGTAGGCAGCCCTTGCGAGACGGTATGGCACAAAGATATTTGACAGCAGGAACACGGCGATTCCCACTCCAGTCAGGCCCATGGAGAAAGTGTTGACCGTTAGCAGCGTGGCATGAGGCGTGGCGCAAAGTCGAGCCAGCAGGGGGAGCATGTGAGCAGAGAACAACCACACCTTTTTGGTCTTCATCAAGAAGGCACACAGTGTGCTGAGAATAATCTGACCTGGCAGAAAGTAACAGTACAGCTTCACAATGGCGAACCCTTAAAAAGTAAATACAACAGATGCTTCCTGCATTATTTTACAACTGATTACAGTTTTTGAGGAATTTAAGGAGAACTTTGATTTGTTAAATCTGTAACACCTGTGACAGGCTTCAGCAGGCCCTAAACTGGATAAACTGTTCGCTATGAGAAGTGGCTTTAATTCACAGATTTCTTTTAATGTAACATTAAATAATCCAGTTTTCACATATGGCGTTATTTTTGTGCCACTATTCTGAGTGCACGTAAAAAAAATTTGCAGGTTCAAGTGTTGCATTTTCAGGAGAAATTTATTTTGAGCGAAGAAAAGCTAAATTTGAGTCAACAAAATTCATAGCTGCGTGCAAAAAATGTATTTCAGACCTTTTTAGAACGTAGGCCTATAGGAATTGAAAGCTTTCTAATGAACTTTCTAACTAATTACATACATGGTTTAGTACTCACTAGTCATTGCAGAGACAAATCTGTTGAAGGCCAAAGAATCACGATACACTGCTCCTTGATAACCGTACTGTAGCTCTTCATGAACATAATCCCTATAAACCAAACAGAAAAAAAATCATTTTACAATCACATGTAAACTGCATGCTTTTGTTTAGAGTTACCCCTCATGTCTTTATACTTTGCTATAAAAATGGGAAACAGGTGCAGCAGCTTATTTTAACATGTGCAAACAGTATATCAGGCAACAACAGACTTTATACAATTTGAGCATTAAAAATCAATATTTGGTGTGACTGCCTTTATTCATCAACAGTCTGAACTCTAAGACAGGCTTTCTCATCATTTCCTAAAGTAGTCTTCAGGAAGAGTTCTCTAGGCTTCTTGGAGGACATTTCAAAGCTTTTCTGGATGTTGACTTTTTTTGGGGGTTCAAGTTACAATTTTATCAATTTTGACAAGATCTCCAGCACCACTGACTGAAAACCATGACAGAGTCTCTAGAATATTTCACAGATGGCTGTAGACGCTTACCTCTCAACTGACTCCCTCTGTGCATACTAATTATTCCATAATACCCGTTGCCACTAAAGTCCCATTCTTGTGTCATACCTAAGCCTTTTCTCCCTGTTTTGCTTCCTTAAGAATGGCTTCTTGACAGCCGCTTAAACCATTTTTGATGAGGGTTCATCAAACAGTACATTGAAGGGTTATGCTATATCTCACAGGTGCTGTTTCAGATCTTTGCTTGATTTCTTTTTGTACAGTTCTTAATGACATGACTTTTAGAAATTGTCACTTACTGCATCATTTGTCCAGTTCCCTCATCTTTTTTAAGAACACACTGCACACCATACTGAGATATACGAAGTGTTCCCATAATAACACTTTGACAATAACCATATGTGCCTTTTTTAAATGTCTGAATGATTCATACGTCAGCGTTAAGTGGCGGCACAAACAAACACATTCCTCTGAGAATGGTCAAATACCAGGAATGAAAAATGAGTGGTAATGCAGCCGATGTCCAAAAACAAACTTTGAAAAACCTCAAGAAAGCATGGAGAGCTACTGCTAAAGACTGCTTTAAAAATACAAGAAACTCTTTAGAAGGAAAAAGGAAGTAAAATGTAAATAAGTGAGAGGACACTCAAGACTTTTCCATAGTACTATAAAAAAAAA